ATGGAATATGTATTAATACTTTATTAATTACATTATTTATTTATTTATTGTATTTTGACTAAAGCAGCTGTCCATAATAATCAACCATAATACAAATTATAAGTAAATCCAAGTAAAATAGAAATATTCAAACACAGGTATAAAATGTCTTGTATATACTTATACATTCGTACATTAAGAGAGAAAGGGAAAGTTATATTTTTTATTGTATTTATTGAACCTGCAGGTGCTGGGTAACAGAACCAGGCTAGTCCGCTACCTGCCTGGAATCCATGCGTTGGTCCGATGTGTGACCAGAACCATGAGTTCAGCTGCATGCTCCGGTCCTGATCAACACAACATGGCTGCCAGTCCTCTTCATGCAGGTATATCTGTGTTATTTATTATTTTATTCTGAAAAAAAAAACCACTGGGACTGTGAGAAAATAATAATCAGTTTTTATTCCATTAAGCTCATTCCTTCCCTTGTGTTGTGGGTCAGAACTGGACCAGTGTGTACACCTGCCTGGTTTTATGGGGCTGATGGAGCGTAAGCAGACAGGAGGTGAGGAGAGGAAGATGCTGACAGATGTGCTGCCTCCTCCGTCCAGCAGAGGGAGACAGGACTTCCTGTTCCACTTTAATGAAGACCCGTCTGTAGGTTTCTGCTCAGGCCTTGATAGACTGCCTTTATTTATTTATTATTATTGTTATTATTAATATAATTATTATAATAATCTTATTATTTACACGTGTAAAAGGGTCTGTGTTAACTCTTTAACTGACATCAGGTGTTTCCAGCAGCTGCCTGTTCCTCCTCACATAATTAATGAAACGTTAAAGTGCCTGTGACATGTATGTTCTTCAAAGGTAAAAAGTCAAAGAGAACATCTTTATATTTATGAAATTTGTACATGAAACATGATTTTACCCATTTTGTCACATAGCTGGCATGTTTTATTCTGAGCTTGGCTCTGCCAAAATGAAACAGGAAGTGACATCAAAGGAGAACTACCTGTTAACCTTCGGGCCTAAAATACCATAAAAAGCCTTAAAAAGTACACAAATTTAATGAAGTACTGCTTTTGAACCCTTTAGAGTAAATTCACAAGCTTGGTCTCTTTTTAAAGCTAATAATCTGAATTTTTAAC